TTCAGATTAAAAAGAAAAATAAAGGAAAAAAGAAAATTGGAAAAGACTTGGATAATTTTGAAGACAATAATTCAGAAGAAGATATTAATCCAGAAGGTTGTACTGATGGAGGAAACTCTTTAGACAGCATTGACAGACACAATTATGAAACAAGATAAAGACTCATTCAGACACTTGGCAAAAAGTTACGGTGATTTTCAGAAAAGACTCAGCCACTTGAAGACTTTTGTCCAGATTTCAAGAAAAATCAAGAATTATTGTACAAAAAGAAGAATTTTTACTGTTTTCTTTTTGAAAAAATTTGTAAAGAATCTTACTGTTTGATAAAGTAAGATTTGATAGCATAGCTTTCTACTGTTTTCTTTTTGATGTTTTGAAAAAAGCAAAGATTCCTTGCTTTTGAAAAACGCTTCCTCTCTCTTTTCTCTCATATAAAAGGAGATCATTCTTTCATTTGTAAACACACAAGAAAATATATACAATACAAGTTTTTGTTTCTCTGAAACATGTTCTAATTTTCTTTCTCTCCCGAAAGGGAAATTCTTAATTGTTCTTATTCTTAGATAGAATAATATCCCACAAAAATATATTGTTTTAAAAACTACCGATGGATCATTCCGGTAGGTATGTTTTATAGTTCTAAGATATGGTTCTAATAGTTAATATTAGTTCCAGATCTTGTAAGAACAATTATGTTCATAAATTTTTCATTTTGTAAAAGTTTTATGATTTTTGTAAAGAGTTTTATGCTTCATGATGGGTATATGATAAGAGCATGTTAACTCTAAGTTAAAAGTTTAAACTGTTTTTAAAATAAGTTCTGAGTGACCTCTCAAAGGGTATATATATATATATATATTTGTCTACATTCTCCATCAATACACTATTTCAAAATGTATTTTTGTCAAAAAAGTGGAGGGGGGCTTAAATAGGTTCTTAAAAAAATAAAAAATACAAAAATGAAATAATTTTTTTCTTCTTTTTAAAGTACACAAAAAAATATTTCTACAGAAACGATCTTTTAAGGACCAATTTTGTTAAACAATGGAAAGTTGACGATAAGAATTTAATAGGGAAAAAATTGATCCTCGAGTTTGATTTGTATTACTTCAATCCTCCAACTTTTGGTTTTGTTACTTTTTATCCTTCAAGATCTGAAAATATTCAAGTCGATCCCCAACTTTTCCAAACGTCCATTTTAGTCCACAAGTTTTGTAAATCCGTATACTTTTTTCGGCTTTCATCTCAAACTAATTAATCTTGCGAATCACTTCATTTTGTATTTTTTTAAGCTTCCATTTGGGAATTAAATTTAGCCTCCAAAAGTCAAATAAAACATAACAACTTTCAAGCTATTTTACAACTTAAATAACGTGTTAACTCTTACCAGTGTTATATCTTATATTACATAGAAAGATAAATGAAGCATTAATTTGCATGAACCAGATAGAGGTAGAGCTCAAATATTGTCGACCGACCTACTCCACATGGAATCAATTGACCACCTCTACAAAAGGTCAATCGACCACTCCTCCAATGGTTGGTTGACAATGACATGTTCACAGACAAACGATATTGGCACGATCCAAATTCACCGAACAGTGGTTACACCTCCATTCACCGACCGTTAGCACATAAAAAAACACCAAACACTTGAGCAAAAATCACCAAGCGCACGAGCGGAAATTGACTGCCGATAGACACCCAAAAAGGTGCCGGGTACTAAAAATGCATCTTTAATCAAAATTTTTACTTAGATATGTTCTTTTCTTGCCCCATAAGCACACTCAGGGAGTTCGCTAGAGCTCTAAGTTTAAAGCCTCAATACAGTTATGCGTTAATTTTCTCTCCTACTCACTCTCACGCAAGAGGTAGCCCCAACCTTTTTTATTATTTTTATTTTTTAAGTGACATAAGTGACTCATAATAACACCTTGCTCTGCTAAAGAAGTAAAGGGTCTTGACAGGATAATTTCACTATCAATATCAACTTAATGGGTATGATTTGCCAATCATCAGAAGCCAACTTCTAAGTTTCTCCCGGTTAATATTGCTAATACTGTGATGAGATGACATAGTTGGATAATACTTGATGATTTAACCAGACATGATCCCAACTCTGTAATAAATAATAGCCAAAAAAAAATAATAATAAATAAATAAATTTAAAACTTGATTATTAAGTTGATAAGCACAAAGAAATAAGATTACTTTTTTATATCAAATGTATAATTACAATTTCTTAATCACTATTCACCAAGATGAAATTAATTACTCTAATCCGGGTCTTGGTCATATCAATTTCAAATTAGATATATATTTACAAGCATCTATTTAGCTAAATTCAGATTTTTTAATAAATTTCGATATAAGTTAATGAAATGTCTAGTTAAAAATAAGTTTGAGAAAATGGGAGTGAAATAATGATTAATGTGTAGAATTATAAACAAAATAATATTTTAAAATAATTTTCTACTCTATAACACTATAGTTTAATGCAAGATTGATTACCTACTACATATCTATGATGTATCTTTTAACTCAAATAACACTTTTTGATACAATTTCGACAATATTAATAACCTCATGTTTATAATTGAAGAGTAATGCCACCCTTAATTTGCAAATTTCTGAAAAATTGTGCCGCGTCGGGTCGAGTAAGTTTTTGTGCCCAAATAACTTAAATGATAAGTTATTTAGACAGACATATTATTTGATGTTACGACATTATCGAGTAGATTAATATTATACACTATGTGACATATGTCGCACATTTTTTAATTAAAAATCTTTCTTTGTTGGTAGACATGAAGATCACACTTAATCCTTGCTTAGTAGTTAAAAGTCAAAATTTTCATAAATTTTGATAAAAGTTGATAAAATGCATAGTTGACAAGTTGATAAAAATTATGTGTCTTACAAAATATTAGATTAAAATTAATTGTTGATTCTGTCACAAATTTTTAATCAAATTTTAAGCTATGCCAATCATGAGCTTACCGTAATGTGGAGGTTGGGTTGGACACGTTGACACATGAAAACCTAAGTAAACTCAAAACAATACCCGTTCCACATGGCAACCTTGTATACCCACAAAGCTCCCCCTGGGTTAGTTGGATGCCCTAATCTCATCACGTTTGGCATTTCTTGGCAGCCATGAAAATTGAAACTTCTGCTAATCCACTAATTTTTGTTTTTGTTACAAACTAATTAAGGTTATTTCTGTCATAACACAAGAATCCTACATCTATATATTGAAATCCTCTATCGTTCATTCTGATACACCTGCTCACCACGAAAATGGAGTATCAGAAACTAAGGAAAATGATGAGTAAATTTAAGAAGATTATACTCTCGGTATCTTTAGTTTCCATAGTTATGAGCTCATTGAAATTGTACTTTTCTGCAATTCCATTAATCAATCTTCTGGGCATTGCATCAAACAAAAACTGCATATTTCTGATTTGCAATGGGCTGTTGGTGTTTGTTGCAAAAACATCTGACGGCTCGGTTCTTTCTTCCTCTGGTTTTGATCTTAATGATTTATTGCAGAGAAAGATTGGCGACAGTTTGCCGCCAACTCTCGAGATAGAAGAACCCAGCAGCTTGTTGATTAAAGACGATGAAGAAAACAAAGAACTAAAGGAAGAAAATGAAGCAGAAGCAACAAAAGAAGAAGAAAAAGAAGAAAAGAAACTAAAGAACTTGGTTATGGAAGATTCGGAAGGCGACGGAGGAGGGGGAAATTGTAACGTCGACGATGTAGAAAATGAGTTACTTTTTGGTGAACCTAAATATTTTGATAAAAGTTGATAGAATGCATAGTTGACAAGTTGATAAAAATTATGTGTCTTACAAAATATTAGATTAAAATTAATTGTTGATTCTGTCACAAATTTTTAATCAAATTTTAAGCTATGCCAATCATGAGCTTACCGTAATGTGGAGGTTGGGTTGGACACGTTGACACATGAAAACCTAAGTAAACTCAAAACAATACCCGTTCCACATGGCAACCTTGTATACCCACAAAGCTCCCCCTGGGTTAGTTGGATGCCCTAATCTCATCACGTTTGGCATTTCTTGGCAGCCATGAAAATTGAAACTTCTGCTAATCCACTAATTTTTGTTTTTGTTACAAACTAATTAAGGTTATTTCTGTCATAACACAAGAATCCTACATCTATATATTGAAATCCTCTATCGTTCATTCTGATACACCTGCTCACCACGAAAATGGAGTATCAGAAACTAAGGAAAATGATGAGTAAATTTAAGAAGATTATACTCTCGGTATCTTTAGTTTCCATAGTTATGAGCTCATTGAAATTGTACTTTTCTGCAATTCCATTAATCAATCTTCTGGGCATTGCATCAAACAAAAACTGCATATTTCTGATTTGCAATGGGCTGTTGGTGTTTGTTGCAAAAACATCTGACGGCTCGGTTCTTTCTTCCTCTGGTTTTGATCTTAATGATTTATTGCAGAGAAAGATTGGCGACAGTTTGCCGCCAACTCTCGAGATAGAAGAACCCAGCAGCTTGTTGATTAAAGACGATGAAGAAAACAAAGAACTAAAGGAAGAAAATGAAGCAGAAGCAACAAAAGAAGAAAAAGAAGAAAAGAAACTAAAGAACTTGGTTATGGAAGATTCGGAAGGCGACGGAGGAGGGGGAAATTGTAACGTCGACGATGTAGAAAATGAGTTACTCTTTGGTGAACCTAAACAGGAAGAAGAAGAAGAAGTAGTGGATGAATGTCCGTGCGAAGAAGAGGAGAAGAAACTCACAAACTTGGTTATGGAAAAATTAGAAGGCGACGGCCCTGGTGATGGAGGAGGAGGGGAAAATTGTAATCTCCAAGATGAAAACGACTTGGAAATAGGGTTACTATTTGATGAAGTAGAAGAAGACGACGACGACGAAGAAGAAGAAGAAGAAAGCATGGAGACGTTGAGTACAGATGAGTTGAATAACAAGTTCGAAGATTTCATACGACGGATGAAGGAAGATATTAGGATGGGTAGAAATAATTATAATGATCAAGAAAATTATAATTACGACATTAATTTGTATGACAAGAATTGGCCAATCATTATAGTGAATTAATTTTCTTTTCTTTTTTCTTATTTTAGAGAATAATAAACATATAATTAATCATTTAGGTTTGTGCATTTTGTTAGTTGATACTCGTTTATCGCCATTGTATCAACCCTATGTAGCATTTGCATTCTTTCCTATGTATACTATTTTATAGATGTAAAAGTGGTGTTGTAAACATATTTTGTTAATGGATTGCTTCATGTAAATATTTTGAGAATCCATTTTGTGAAAAGTGATTTTTTCTGAAGATTGTGTATGGGCTGTTTATCTGCAAAATTATTTTATTGAGAGAATGTATTATTGAAAACGAGTTTAGAAAAAAGAAATTAAAAATCTCTACCAAGTACTTAGAGTTATTTACTAAATTAACCCTTAGAAAGGTTTGATGAAGAAAACGAAGAAGTAAGGGAAGAAAATGAAGCAGAAGCAACAAAAGAAGAAAAAGAAGAAAAGAAACTAAAGAACTTGGTTATGGAAGATTCGGAAGGCGACGGAGGAGGGGGAAATTGTAACGTCGACGATGTAGAAAATGAGTTACTCTTTGGTGAACCTAAACAGGAAGAAGAAGAAGAAGTAGTGGATGAATGTCCGTGCGAAGAAGAGGAGAAGAAACTCACAAACTTGGTTATGGAAGAATTAGAAGGCGACGGCCCTGGTGATGGAGGAGGAGGGGAAAATTGTAATCTCCAAGATGAAAACGACTTGGAAATAGGGTTACTATTTGATGAAGTAGAAGAAGACAACGACGACGAAGAAGAAGAAGAAAGCATGGAGACGTTGAGTACAGATGAGTTGAATAACAAGTTCGAAGATTTCATACGACGGATGAAGGAAGATATTAGGATGGGTAGAAATAATTATAATGATCAAGAAAATTATAATTACGACATTAATTTGTATGACAAGAATTGGCCAATCATTATAGTGAATTAATTTTCTTTTCTTTTTTCTTCTTTTAGAGAATAATAAACATATAATTAATCATTTAGGTTTGTGCATTTTGTTAGTTGATACTCGTTTATCGCCATTGTATCAACCCTATGTAGCATTTGCATTCTTTCCTATGTATACCATTTTATAGATGTAAAAGTGGTGTTGTAAACATATTTTGTTAATGGATTGCTTCATGTAAATATTTTGAGAATCCATTTTGTGAAAAGTGATTTTTTCTGAAGATTGTGTATGGGCTGTTTATCTGCAAAATTATTTTATTGAGAGAATGTATTATTGAAAACGAGTTTAGAAAAAAGAAATTAAAAATCTCTACCAAGTACTAAGAGTTATTTACTAAATTAACTCTTAGAAAGGTTGTAGTTTTTTAAGAAGTTCATAGGGTATCTTATAATATTTTCTCATCCTTCATCAAATTTCATGTCAAAAGTAGCATGATGAAATTGTTGATTTCTTGAATAGGTAAGTGATTACAGGTCAAGTATTTGATTCCTTTCCTTTTAACATACCCAATTTTATCACAATTTATAGGGTGAATCAATTTTTAAGTTATTTTATTTTATTACATTAGTAGAACAAATTTTGTGAAGATGCTAAGAAATTAAAGTCAAATTTAACAATTAATTTTAACTATACATTTTACGAGTCTTACAATTTTTATCAACTTTTTAACCACGCATCTTATCAACTTTCTTAGAAGTCACTAAATTTTTTTATCAAAATCTTTTTCAAACAACCCTCAAATTTAAACTTAACCAAGGACAAACGATTTGCTTACACGACAAAATTATTAAATAATTAAGAAAATATGTTACATCACA